CAACTTGAGCCGCGGCGGCGGCCCCGCGCTCTCCGACGCGGAGAAAAGCGCCGAGGACGGCGCGGACAGGGATCCCAACGGGCTCAACGGCCACCTCAAGGTGCGGCGCGGGCCCTTGGCCCGGGAGCTCCGCGGGGCTCTGCGCCCGGGCGCACTCGGGGGCAGGTGCCCACCACGCTGCTGCTTTTGCTCTCTGTTATTCTAGCTGGGCTTTGAGGATGTGATCGCGGAGCCGGAGTTAACGCACTCCTTCGACAAGGTCTGGATCTGCAGCCACGCTCTCTTTGAGCTCAGCAAGTACCTGGTCTACAAGTTGGTGACGCTGCTCCTGGCCATCCCGCTGGCCCTGGTTGCCGGGATCATCTTCGCAGCACTTAGCTGCCTGCACATCTGGTAAGTTGCTTTGTCGCTTGTCCCTGCGAGGTGTTGCCGGCCATGGGCTCAGCAGGGAGCCACAACTTTATTTCTGAAGAGAGAGAAATAGAAATATTATAGTATTTGTGATTCAGTTCTCTACCCTTAATATGGCTCTGACTAGCTGCCCTCCTCGAGGCAGAGACGCAGTCCCTGCCACTGGGCAGCCTGGCCTTGGCTGGCTTGTGTAGTAACAGTCGTTTTTGCTTTTTAAATGAAAATATTACTTACATCTCATGTATAGGTATTTGACACCTTCTCAGTCAGGTTACCTCATTGATTGTATCCTCACAGATTGAAGAAAGCTTTTCAGGCCCCACTTTCTTTCTTTTTACTGTCTCTAAATCTACTGTTGCTGCCTTGTCTGAGGTTCATGGCCATCTCTAGGAGCACGGCCTCAAAGCACTTCCACACCAGCAAAAAACTCCTGCTGATCTCAGGAAGGCCCTCCTGGCCACGGCCCAGGTTCACATGTGAATACAGTAGCTCTCCAAGTCACAGCAAGGTTGATGTACTTTAAATAGAAAATACTGGCAAAATGTCAGGAAAGTGAATCTTGAGACTAGACAGACAGCTGATTGTGGAGAAGGAGGAAATGAAGGGAAAAGGATAAGATTGACGAAAGAACTGGGAATCTGTCAGTGTGTAGAGGAAAGGATGCATACAGGTGATCCCCACCATTCCAAACCAGGATTTTCCATATACTTTTTTAGTAAAGTCTCGTTTGACCTGAGTAGCACTGGAATCACACAGATTGTTTATTCTGAAGCAAGTTTCATAAATGTTCTAAGGCAGTGTGAGGTAAAGAAAACAAAATAAAGTCCAGAAACTGAGGGGGGTGGGGCAGGGGGGAAACCCACAGTATGAATACATTGGTTGGTTATGTGAACATCTGATTGCAATCCTTTGGTTGGGTATTTAGGTTTTCAAAAGTAGAGTGGAAGTTTATGGATTGACAACATTGTTAGGCGTCACCTTGGAGAGTGATTAACTAGAAGTTTGGAGTATAGAGTTTACATATCCTCTGTCTTTCCAGAGGAGCTTCAGTTGAAATTAGAGCAGCCCACCTGCTAGTACAGAGCCTGAAATACCTCACAGGTTACTTCTCCAGTCTCCAAATTATTCTGAGCAGAATGTGCCCAGATTTCTAGCTCTGTGGGCTGCCACTGGGCTGCACTGCACCACGTGATGCAGGAGAGCATGGTGGCTGCACAGACTTCCATCAGTGGGATGTTCATGGGCCAATTCATTAATATTCCGTTTACTATGACTCTGCTGGGGTTTTGTGCTTGATGATCTTGGATTTGAATTTCACTGAAGCAGGACTCCAAGGTCAATTTCTATTTCTGCAAGTAGTCCCAAAGGGCTTTATCAGGAACTGTAGGTTCTGGGTACATCCAAAATAGAACTATCTGAATGTGGCACTTGATTTTGTGAGTTTGCCTTGACCTTTTGTCTACACATTTATTTTCCTACCTTTTTTTTTCTTAAAATCTTTGGCTATACCAGGCTGATCTTTCATTTTGATCTTTCTTGCACATATAGGCTGGATGTGAAAGAACAGTATAATGCAGTAGCTCTGTCTGCACTGGCTCAGGCCCCCTCCAGTACTAGGATCCAAGGCCAGAACAGTCTAGTCTTGCACAGGAACGAGCTGGATTTGTTCCAGCGCAAAGGTGGAACACACCGAGCTTGTGTTAACATCTGTGGGGCTCAGAGTGTTGCAGATTTGTTGCGAGCCAGGCCCCTCTGCATTTCAGAGGGAAGGACAGGAGCATGTGATGAAGAGTCCACAGAGAGCAGAGAGCAAGCACAAGGCACTGGTTCTCATGGAGTCTCGCTGGGTCTGGAAAAATCATAGCTCCTTGTTTGGTGGCTGAGAGGAAGGGAATTCCAGTATAACTCAAATATAAGATCATGGGAAACTCTGGACACACCCTCCCATGTGGCAAGTGCAGGAGGGCTTAGCACCGTCCTTGTGTCTTCTCTTTGTAACCCAAACAATCAAGGTGACGATGTGGGCTTTGGGGAGCTTTCTATGAGTCTAAATTTGAAGCTGTTTCTAAAATGCCTGGCAGTCTTCAAACACCAAGTTCTGTTGTTTGCCACACGTGCTCTTGCAGCTTTCTCAGCATGCTAAAAATCCCCAGAAGACAGACTTAGCACTCCTATGCATGAAGGGCCCCTAATGCATGAGTTGCACACCCCCATATCTGAAAATAAATGTTACCCCTCACCAGCAAGAAGAAGGGCACAAGCACAGGGAACATCATGGAAAATGGAAAGAAAACTGACCAAGAACCACATAATAGCACACTTTAATTGCAAATTTTACCTATTAAAAATGAGTGTATTCAGATTCTGTCTCTTAAACATGTCCTTAAATACCGGTAAGGTTTCAAACTTGATCAGAACAATGCTGATTTTCCAGGCAATACATGTAAAATTGTGACCTTTTTTTTTTTTTATAGATTCAAGCACTAATCTTACCCCATGTGGTATCTTTGCCACCTCTTGAAAATTAGGCAAAATCTCACATAAATTTTGTTGTAGTCATGTCTGGAGGGTTCTCAGGTGTGTTTTATATAAAAGCTTGGCATTTATGATGAGAATCACGTATTCATTTGGGGTTCTCTTCCCTGCATGTTGGGTCTGAACTGAGCCGTGTACTCCAAACCCACTCACACAAGGCCTCAGTCAGCTTGGATATTCATTTGGGGTTCTCTTCCCTGCGTGTTGGGTCTGAACTGGGCCGTGTACTCCAAACACACTCACACAAGGCCTCAGCCAGCTTGGCAAGTACCTGGAGTCCTTCCTGACTTGTACTTGCAGTCATACTACTAATATGTAGCCAAGGACAGATGCATAAAGAGGTAAACGTGTACATACATCTCTTACCTCTTTTTCCACAGCTCCTCTTTTATGACATAGGGCTATTGCACTCAAATGTGTAGAACTGAAACGATCTACTGACCATCTGAAATCAAAGGAAAAGTGATAAATGAAGGCCTGTTTTATGATCTCATGTTACCTTGCTGCCTTCTGGTTCATGTCCAGCATATATCCTTTGTTTTCTGAAAAGGAAGTAAGTGGATGCTCTCTTGCTCGGAGGGTTGTCACTCATAAATATCCCAGGGACTAATGTGACCCTTCAAGAAGTTCTAGAGCTGCTCGCTGATAGTTAATGATCTTTTCACAATCCTTGCTGTACTGTACTACCATGCAAGACTTTAATTGAAGATCCCTGTGTAATTCACATGTAAACCATGAATTGGATAATTTAGTCACTGAATGGTATAGTATTTGAAAAATAGCATTAAGACATGTTTGAGATTCCATTTTGGAAAAATTCACAGGAGAAGATGTGGTTTTTCACTTAAAAGCAGAAATCTGAATAAACATAAAATGACATAAAGCACATTGCCCAAATATATGAAAAGTTGAGCCACTTCCTGACAATCTGAAAATACCCTGATCAGTGAGAAATTATGATCTGCCATTTGCAAGTGGCATTTGGTTCCTGACAAAATATGTCTCTTGGGAACTGGCAAGAAAAAGTAGTATGAACAAAAATGAGAATGTTTGATGGAAATAACTTTGTCTATCATGCCTAGAACAGAAAGATGAGAAGAGTAGCATAAGGAATAATTTATTCTTTTCAGATCAACAGCTCCCAAAACAGGTGAGTTCTACTTATTGAACGGATGATTATTCTAAGTCTACGTAGCACAATTCAATCACAGCTCATAAAGGTAGTTGAAATACCTTGGCTATGCTTCAGCTCAGGCATCACATTCAACAGAGCTTTGTTTTTCTTCTCCGCACTGTATTACATGGCAATACTACTGATGCCAATATTGCAGAAAATGTCAATATCCTCGGGATATGTCAACTGTACTCCCACTGATAGGCATTGCTCAAGTGAGAAGTTATACCCACGTGATGGAAATGCCACACTGGACTAAATATGCAGTGCTGTGATTAAGGAGTAAGTGATTGTTAGGCAGTTTGCAATAAGGTAGATACTTTCTAGGAGTATTTTGTTACTTTTTTTTTCAATTGTGCCTGATTATCCTATGGAAGATCATATTATGTCATATCACAACCTGATGATTTAGAAATTCTGCATGGAAGGAAAACAGAAGACCAGAGAAGCTATGCAGAACACAATACATATATACTTGCATTCAATATAGATAATTCAGAGAACTGTACATGTACATAGATTTTATAAATCATGAATCATATTTTTTAGTGCTTTGTTGGGTGAAAGGGTGAGGAAGTGTATTTGAGAAATTCTCATCTAACTCAACTTTCTTGTCTAAATAGACCAAGTTTTATTCTAAAATGAAAAATTGCTCCTATATGCTTTGCTTGTCAGTACGTTTCCTGTATCTTCTTCTGGAGATATGCCTACCTTGTATTTTTTCATCTATTTAGCATAAAATTAGAAAATAAATGTAAAAAAAGCATCATAATGTTTTGATATTTGTTATGTTTAAGATTATCAGAAGAGGTTTGGTTCTGATACTGAGTGGGTGGTCTGTAGCAGTCCTAAGTAGTATGATCAGTGCTTTTCCAATCTCAGTCTTTCCTAGTAAAATCTTGATGT